GTATTTTTAGCAGAGGCGGGGTTTCACCATGTTGGCCAGGCTGGTCTTGAACTCCTGACCTCAGGTGATCCAACCACCTTGGCCTCCCAATGTGCTGAGATTACAGGCGTGAGCCACCCCACCCAGCCGTAGTTCCTCTTACTTTCAAAAGATAAAATTTCATTTGCATCGACTAAAGTACAATTAAACAAAAAAAGAACACACTTCAGCTTTGGCCATTTCTCCACGTAAACCTACTTGGTCACTTTTTTGGCAGAGGAGAATACAGTTAAAAAGGACATGTCCCAGGGGATTCAAATACACTTCTCAAAGTGTACTGCTGGCCCTCCATATCCATGGGTTCTGCATCTGTAGATTCGATCAATTGTAGGTCAGAAATATTCCGAAAAAAAATAGTCTCTACTGCACATGTATAGATGTTCTTTTTCTTGTCATTATTCCCTAAATACAGCAGAACAACTACTTACATACCATTTACATTGTATTAGGTATTATAAGTAATCTAGAGATGACAAATTATACAGGAGGATGCCATAGATTATATGCAAATACTATGCCATTTTGTATCAGGGACTTGAGCTTCCTCAATTTTGCTATTCAAGAGAAGTACTGAACTGATCCCACACAGATACCTAGGAAACACTGTAATTCAATGCAGTATCATGGGTCAGCTAGACCACATCCTGTGCCAGTGAGGGAAATCTATTCCCTTAACAAGTTAGTCTTGGTTTGTTTGGAAAATGTCTCCCAGAGGGACAGTGAACACCCATATATGCATTTGAGATAGATACTATTAGTATGCTCATTTGGCACATGACTGAGACTCAAAGTCAAGTAACTTGATAAAGTCTCCATAACCAAGTAACTAATTTTGGAGCCGTCTGACTGCATGGCTAGAGATTCTACTTCTATACTCTTGCCTGTTCATTTTATATCCACAGAGCATACACACAGGCACTCTACCGATGTCATGTGAAGAAATCTAATCCAGTCTGGGTATGGTGGCTCTTGCCTATAACCCTAGCACTTTGGGAGGCCGAGAAGGGTGGATCGCCTGAGCAAAGGAGTTTGAGACCAGCCTGGGCAACATGGCAAGACCCCATCTCCACAAAAAAAATTAGCCGGGCCAGACGTCATGGTGCGAGCCTGTAGTCCCACCTACCTGAGGTTGAGGCAGGAGGATCGGTTGAGCCAGGGAGTTCAAGTGAGCCATGATCACACTACTGCACTCCAACCTGGGTGACAGAGCGAAACTGTCTCAAATTAAAAAAAAAAAAAATCTGACCCAGCAATGAACAGCTATGGTGGTTTGTTCCCTTGGTTATTGCTAGTTTACATTTCTACACCAGAAGCAGGGCTCTGCAAATCCAAATAAAGCAAGCACTGGAGAGATACCCTATTTTCAACCTTCCTAACTCCCCATCCATACAAGACGGCCTGTAACTTGCATAGAATTATTGGCATCATTACCACTATTTAATCTACCCTTAATTCCCTATATTCAAAGGCCCTGCAGTTTTATTTCCATGCAGGTATTTTTAAGTGTTTGAGAAATTGAAGATAATAGCAGTTTCAAATATTTAAGTGCTATTTTAGCTGTAATACAGGTTCTCAATTACATATAGCTTTAATTCAACACTTTCACCATTGTGAAAGTTCACAAGTTAGGGAAAGCCATGAAGCTGTCCTTCCACTACTAATTTACTGAAGCATATTTTTCACGGTATATGTTCTCTGGACTTTAGTGACATTGCTTTCAGAATTATTTCCTCAATCAGTTCTCAAGACACGTGTGCTCCAAAGACTGCTATGCTGCATTAAAAGTTCTTACGTATTTCTGTCTGGGGGCCACATATGAACAGGTATTCCATTTTAAAATGGTCTTATTAACTGCTAAACAGCTCCCAAAGATAAACTGGTTTAAATTTAGCAATGTGGCATAATTCATTCCAGACTCAGTTCCATTCAAATCCTTGATGTTAACTGGGTTTGTCTTCTTGAGATCTGAAGTAGACTCAAAAAGAATTGGATATTGGGTAACAGCAGAGGGGCAAGGGGTGACTCCAATGTTTGAACTGAGACTTCAGTGGACAATGGATTGAGACACGGAACACACAACAGAGCTTCTGGGAGGGAAGATTTCATTTTAGACACATTAGCTTTTCAGCTGTGAGTTGCAGGTCCCTAGTATGCAGTTGGTTGTATACAGAAATCTCAATTGAAGGTCAATTTGAAGAGTTCAGTGTGAAAGCTTAGGCCCAAATCCAAAGACAAACTTGAATTACTCAACTTTGATCCTATTAAAAATCTCAAAAATTTTCTGAAGGCAATCTTAACAGTTTATAGATGTTTTATTTTTCCAAAATAAATCTACAGAAACTTTCCCCAATACATTTAGCAAATGTGTAAGAGTATCTGATTATAAATTCTAGGCTGGGTGAGTGGCTCACTCCTGTTAACACCAGCACTTTGGGAAGCTAATGCAGGCTGACGGTTTTGAGTCCAAGAGTTCTAGACCAGCTTGGGAAACAAGGCAAAACCTCACCTCTACTAAAAACAATTAGCTGGGCATACTAGCCACATGCCTGTTAAGTCCCGGTTACTAGGCAATTTGAGGTGGATGGCATGAGCCCAGGAGGTCAAAGCTGCAGTGATCACACCACTGCACTCCAGCCTGGACCACAGAGTGAGACCGTCTCAAAAACTGAAAATGTAAGTATTTTTTAAAAGTATGAAAGTGAAAATGGGCCGGGCATGGTGGCCCATGCCTCTAATCCCAGCACTTTGGGAGGCCAGCCAGGGGGATCACCTGAGGTCCGGAGTTTGAGATCAGCCTGACCAACAGGGCAAAACCCCTTCTCTACTATAAATACAAAAATTAACCAGGCATGGTGGCAGGCACTTGTAATCCCAACTACTTGGGAGGCTGAGGCAGAATTGCTTTAACCCCTGAAGCAGAGACTGCAGTGAGCCAGGATCGCACCATTGCACTCCAGTCTGGGCCACAGAGCAAGATGCTGTGAAACTTTTATATTTAAAATATAAAACACTGAAAATGTAAGTATTTTAAAACTAAGTTTTAGTTACTAAAACCCTAAAACTTAGTTTTAGTCCTGCCTCTGCCAATTAATTCTTTTTTAAAGACCATAAGCTTGGTTGTTAATTTAAAAATATTAGTTACTCATTTTCAGCACCTGCCTACTACTGCACTAGGCTCAGTCACGGCTGTGTATTACAAACGCCCCAAACCAATCAGAATTCCTAGGGTATGCCAATGTTATAAACTGACAGTGTCCAATACAACTGGTCAGGTCTCACATTATGATGTACTTAACGGAATTCAGTTTTCAAATGACTCAAACCACAATGAAAACAGGATAGACCATTCTAAGATACCCATATATTCCACCTGAAAAGCGGAAGTCTCATAGTACACTTTTATATTCCTAAAATCTGCTAGTATTCCGAATAAAAACCAACAAAAGTTAACAACTGGTAATCAATTTATTAAAATAGTTGACTTAAGCATCTGCAATGGTGACTTCCACCTCAACTCCAGGCTCAATACTGATGGAAGTAATCTGCTTAACAATCTCAGAAGGACTGTGCAAGTCAATGAGTCGCTTGTGGATTCTCATCTGGAAACGATCCCATGTCTTAGAACCTTCACCACAAGGAGTTTTTCTTGTAGTGATTCTCAAAGTCTGCAACAAAAGACAAAGGAAACCAAGTGTTTATGGCTTTATACTTATCCCTAGAACATCTGGAAAACCCCTTTTAATCATCTCATTAGTTTCCCTTTGGCATGATTCCTATTTACACTAACAGATTTTCAGGTACCACGGGTTGAAAACGCCAGGTCTGTTTTCACTGTAGTAGGACACCACCCTTACAGCTTGCGCCTGTTAAGCACCAAACCACACCAAGACCACAACAGCAATAACTAAACGATCATATCTAAACATTAGAGACTTACTAGGAACCGAAATCTACCACCAATTTCCATACGCGTTTGTAGATAGCATCAGGGTTAACAATTTTGGCAGCCAAACCCCTTAAAGAACCTGAATTTACACAACATCCAGAAGCAACTCCTACTTCCTGCCCCTCCGATTTACTTTACCTTGGTAGGCATTCGAACTGGTCCTTTCACTTTCAGGTTCTTTTCCTTCGCGCCTCTGATCAAGTCAGCACACACTGTAGGAAATAAAAAGACCTCTCAGTACAATCAAAACAATTAAAATCGGCTTAAGATCTTCACTTCTACTGGCTCAGAATAGCGTATAAAACTATCACCGTTATTCAACACAACAGGTACCTCCTCATCGCCAGCTGTACGACAATGAAAGCAGTTTTAGGCCATGCTTTACCTTTTTAAGCAAGCAACTTGTCACTTCAGTTCTTGGAGTCCACCTTGTACACTAACATTAACGAGTAAAGCTCGGCGCTTTTTGTCCAATTCCCGCCCCCACCGCACGACTGCACTGACCCTTTTCCAGGGATTTAACGTTGCGGCTCGTTAGGGTGATTCGAATTCGGTGAATTGCCACCTCCGGCTCCACGGGTGTTTTTCCGGTATCCTTAAAAGCCTATTGTTAGACACATGAGAAAGAACAATAAGCCAAAAATGGTCTGCCACTTCTGGAGAAAGGCAGCTTCCGGAAGCTTCCCGCGTTCCCCCACCATTTCAGACGCGCCTTTCCGCCCCTACACTCCCCAGCATCTGCCCTACAGGAGCACGAGCTCGAAACAGGAGACCCCCCGGCGACCGAGCCCTGCGCCTCACCATGGCTGCTGCGCGGCTTCCTGACCGACTTGTTCCTCGGCGAGAGCGAACAGCGGTGAGTCAGGAGCAGGAGCGTGCGAACCAAAGATCCGCAAGTCCTACGGCCGCGTCTTCCTCAAAAAGAAAGAGGTGTGACTTGAGCAATGCTTATATAGCACGCTTACATCCGGGTCCCACACGCCCCGGAACAGGAAATGTCCCGGACCCTAGAGGCGGTCGCACAAGGCCGAGCTGGAGCACTCGTGGAGTTGGCAGGAAAGGCACGGCTGCGTGCGCCCCCTGTCCGCACGGAGGAACCAAAGTCCCGCAGGGTGGGGTCCCCGCCTGCGCGGAGATGGCCACCCGGCCGAGAGAACAGGCGAGGCGGAAACCTGAGAAACTCCTGTCTGGTGCACCTAACCCTCTCCCTCGTAAAGTGCACACGAACTCTGGTTTTTACGTTGCAAATTTTGCTTTCTACACAGACCATACCACTCGTTGTTCTCTGAGGATGAGGTAACTTCTCTGAGTTTAGCTGACATGAGCAATGGCAGAAATGCTTCTAGTGAACTGGACACCTTACGTTAGAATTAGTAAGCACTTATTTTTCATAGCCTGAAACGTCCTTTTGTGATATTTCAGCTCCTGGCTTCCCAATCCAGCAGAAGTATCTACATCTATTTCTGGAAAGGACCTGAACTTGGCTTCTCGTCCCTCTGGAAAGTGAGGCGAAAATGCCAGGCTGCGCAGCTACCCTGAGGCCCGGCCTGGTACCTGGCTAGCCACCCAGTCCTGATACGTCATCTCCTTTCTGTTGGATAAAGTCATTGGATAAGATCCCCCAGGGTCTTCTTAACACTGAACATCTGTTCATAATCACATAAGTGACCAAATATAGTGGAAAACCCGAATGGTCAACTGGGCTGAGCAATGGGAGAGAGCGCAGGATGAGCTCACCTACACCTGAGCAAGAAGCCGGGGATAATACATGGAAATCATTGAGATGGATTTTGATACAGGGCAGAAGGAAAAGTAAAATAATCTCATACTACTTTCCACCTGAAGTTCTGAGCCAAAAGAGTTATTTGCTCAAACACTTCAAACTGGGGAGGGACAGAGCTCTGATGCCTCCCTTCAGGCCTGTTTTTGTTGTTGTAGTTGTTGTTTTTTGTGTGTTTGTTTTTGAGACGGAGTTTCCCTCTTGTTGCCCAGACTGGAGTGCCACGGCGCCATCTCGGCTCACCGCAACCTCTGCCTTCTGGGTTCAAGCGATTCTCCTGCCTCAGCCTCCCGAGTAGCTGGGATTACAGGCATGCGCCACCGTGCACGGCCAATTTTGTTTTGTTTTGTTTTGTTTTTTAGTAGAGACGGGGTTTCTCCATGCTGGTCAGGCTGGTTTTGAACTCAGGATCTCAGGTGATCCGCCCGCCTCGGTCTCCCAAAGTGTTGGGATTACAGGCGTGAGCCACAGCGCTCGGCCCATCAGGGCTCTTTCTTGAGGTTTTGTCTTCTGTTCCTTGGTAGAAAATTATTTTTGAAACTTTAATCAGACAATAGCATTGTCTTATTTGGTGATAACTGGAACATAACTAATAACTGGGTTTCTTTGGCTCACGATACATGTGAGGGTTTTGTTTTTGCTGCCATTTTAACAATTACTTTAAATTTTCAAATTTGGATGTTTTCGAGTTCCATTTTTTGGGTTTTTTGTTTGTTTTTTGAGATGGAGTCTCGCTCTGTCGCCCAGGCTGGAGTGCAGTGGCGCGCTTTTTGCTCAAGCGATTCAAGCGATTCTCCTGCCTCAGCCTCCCGAGTAGCTGGGACTATAGGCGTGTACCACCACTCTCTGCTAATTTTTTGTATTTTTACTAGAGACGGTGTCTCACCGTGTTAGCCAGGATGGTCTCAATCTCCTGAACTCGTTATCCGCCCATCTCGGCCTCCCAAAGTGCTGGGATTACAGGTGTGAGCCACCTAGCCCGGCCCCAGTTCAGTTATTTTTAAATGTAATCCATTGTCTGTAAGTACTCTTTTAGTAGAATTTTTAGCAGAAAATCTGAAAGCCTGCATTCTTATTGTGCTAGCTGTAACCTAATTGAGACTTCATAACTTAGAGGTTTAACTTATTGGAATGGCTATGTGCAACAAATACACAAAAGCACAATTGCCCTGCTCCCTGGGGTGTGGTCAGCCACCACTGTAGTACTGCCTAGAGGTGACTGTGCATCTTTTAAGTGAAGATATACAGCAGCATTCATGTTTTCTAATGCTCAAAGATGACTGGAAATTCAATGAAGGAATTTCATTGAGAAGTACAATTGTAATTTTTGTACAAGTGTGATTTTTTTTTTTTTTTTGATAACAAATCTGGTACATCTTTTTCTTAGGCTTATCTCATCCTTTAAGTATTTGAGGAACTGGTGAACAAGTTAACTACTTTGATCATAAATAAGGAAATTTCATTATAGAGAAAAGCAAAATGTGGCTCAGCAAGTATGTGAAAAATGGCTGATGTGACTAGAACTAAGGAAACAAATGGTTAAGTTAATATTAGACAAAAGTAATGGAAATTTTTTATTTTTTATTTTGGAAAACCGTATGGAGGGTCCTCGAAAAATTAAAAATGGAACTTCCATATGAAGCAGCCATCCCACTTCTGGGTATATACCCCAAAAAAATGAAATTGGTATCTTGAAGAGATACCTGCACTTTATTGCAGCATTATTTACAGTAGCTAAGGTCAGGAAATGACCTAGGTGTCCAGCAACAGATGAATGGATCTTTTTTTTTTTTTTTTTTTTTGAGACGGAGTCTTACTCTGTTGCTCAGGCTGGAGGGCAGTGGTGCGATCTCAGCTCACTGCAACCTCCATCTCCTGGGTTCAAGCAATCCTCCTGCCTCAGCCTCCCAAGTAGCTGGACGTTCAGGCGGGCACCACCATGTCTGGCTAATTTTTGTATTTTTAGTAGAAACAGGGTTTCACCATGTTGGCCAGGCTAGTCTCGAACTCCTGACCTCAGGTTATCTGCCCACCTCGACCTTCCAATGTGCTGGGATTACAGGCGTAAGCCACCGTGCCCAGCCTGAATGGATCAATATTATTCAGCCTCAAAAAAGAAGGAAATTCTGGCCGGGAATGGTGGCTCACACCTGTAATCCTAGCTTTTTGGGAACCTGAGGCAGGTAGATCACCTGGAGTCAGAAGCGCGACATTGGCCTGGCCAACATGGTGAAAGCCTGTCTCTACTAAAGATAAATATACTGTGTGAGTTCACTTATATGTGGAGTCAAAAAAAAAGTCAAATTTGTAGAAACAGACAGTAGACTACTAGAGTCAGGAGGTGGGATCTAGGGTTTGGGAATTTTAAAGTTTATTAGTTTAAGTTTCAAACACTTTGCCATATTTTTCTCTTGAAAACCAACAGCTTCTTTGGCCCCCAATTTCTCTTTAAAATGTTATATTTGGGCCAGACGCAGTGGCTCACGCCTGTAATCTCAGTACTTTGGGAGGTCGAGGTGGGTGGATCACCTGACATCAGGAGTTCGAGACCAGCCTGACCAATGTGGTAAAACCCTGTCTCTACTAAAATACAAAAATTAGCTGGGCATGGTAGCGGGTGCCTGTAATCTCAGCTACTCGGGAGGCTGAGGCAGGAGAATCGCTTGAACCCAGGAGGCGGAGGTTGCAGTGAGCCGAGATCACGCCATGGAATCCAGCCTGGGCAACAAGAGCAAAACTCTGTCTCAAAAAAAAAAAAAAGTTATGTTTGAATACTAAATGTGAGCTATCCATTGGAGAAAAAAGTAACAACAATAAGCCAAAAAAAGAAGAAAATACATAACTCCATCATTCAATGTGTTTCTTTTCTTTTTTGAGAAGGAGTCAGTCTCACTCTGTTGCCCAGGCTGGAGTACAGTGGTACGATCTCAGCTCATTGCAACCTCTGCCTCCCAGGTTCAAGTGATTCTCCTGCCTCAGCCTCCTGAGTTGCTGGGATTACAGTTACCCGCCACCACGTCCGGCTAACTTTTGTATTTCAGGTGAGACAGTGTTTCGCCATGTTGGTTAGGCTGGTCTCGAACTCCTGACCTCAGGTGATCCACCGGCCTCGACCTCTCAAAGTGCTGGGATTATAGGCATGAGCCACTGCGCCTGGCCAGCATGTCTTTTAATGACGGTGTTATCATGAATTGTATGAATGGTTCTTTTAGGATTTGTTGAACCTGTCTTCTGTTTTTAGGCAGTTAGGCTTGTTTTCCCATTTTTCAGTCTTATAAACAATATCATGAGGTAAATTCTGGTAGATCAGGGTTTCTCAGTCTCAGCACAATTGACATTTTGGGGGCTGGATAATTCTTTGCTTTGGGGGACTGTCCTATGCATTTAGGAGGTTTGGCGACATCTCTGGCCTCTATATTCACTAGGTGTTGGAACAACCCCACTCCTCCACTGGTGACAATCAAACATGCCTCCAGACATTGTCAACAGTCCCTGTGGGTAAAAATCATGCCTGGTTGACAGCCACTATTGTAGGTGAATATTTTAGCTCCTACTTAAAGCCTTAGGTCAATTACTAAATAACTTATCCTCTGATGGCTTAATCAAAGAATAAGCACATTTTAAATACTTTGGTATTAAGTAAGTTGCCCTCTGGGAAGGTTGTACCCAAATAGATATTTCCTCCAACAGCCGAATGAGGATTTCAGTGTGAAAAACATTGAATTAGATATCAGGTTCATTTTAACTTTTGAAATATTCCTAACAACTTTATGAAATTTGTGTTTTCAATATCTCTATCTATAGCCTTTCTTTACTAATTTTTGCAGATCTTTTAAAATTATCTTGTAAAGACTTTTACTGCAGGTATTTGTGTGGGTCTGTGGATGGCCATCTACTGGTCTTTCACTGCAATGACAGTGTCATCCTACTTTTTCCAAAAGGAAATTTACGGCAGTCAAAAACTACTGAATTCATGGTACACATGTGGAAATGTCTGAATCACATTTAAAAAGGCAAATTGTTGAATGAATGTGGGTGAGTCTGTTTAGACACAACAGTAGTCCCCTCCTTATCCCTGGTTTCACTTTCTGAGGTTTCAGTTACCTGCAGCACAGTTCAATAAGATACTTTGAAATCAGAGAGACCACATTCATGTAACTTTTATTACAGTATATGACTACCACTGTCCTATTTTATTATTAAAATATAATAAAATAATATTAATCTCTTGGTGTACCTAACTTATAAATTAAACTTTATCATAGGTGTGTATGTACAGGAACAAATGTGGTATGTATACAGTTTGGTTCTATCTGTGGTTTCAGGCACCCAGGGTGTCTTGGCACCAGCTCTGTGGATAAGGAGGAACTCCTGTATTTTATCTGTGGAATTAAAAAATCTAAATAGGCCGGGCGCGGTGGCTCAAGCCTGTAATCCCAGCACTTTGGGAGGCCGAGACGGGCGGATCATGAGGTCAGGAGATCGAGACCATCCTGGCTAACACGGTGAAACCCTGTCTCTACTAAAAATACAAAAAACTAGCCGGGCGAGGTGGCGGGCGCCTGTAGTCCCAGCTACTCGGGAGGCTGAGGCAGGAGAATGGCGGGAACCCGGGAGGCGGAGCTTGCAGTGAGCTGAGATCCGGCCACTGCACTCCAGTCCGGGCTACAGAGCAAGACTCCGTCTCAAAAAAAAAAAAAAAAAAAAAAATCTAAATACAACATTTGTATGTTAAACTTCTTCAGTCTGAAATGCTTTCAGGCATCTACTGGGGGGCTTGGCACTACCTCTGTGGTTAAGGGGGAACTCCTATATTTTGTTTGCAGAATTTTTTATCTAAATACATATTTTTTTATATTAAACTTCTTCAGTCTGAAATTTAAGAATAAAAACCAGAGAGAGTATGTGAAGATTTAGAATAGTACTCAGCATATGAGAGTAGCCAGCACCAGGCCAGGTGTGGTGACTCATGCTTATAGTCCCAGCTAGTGTTTGGATCAAAGCAGTCCAACGCTAGAGCCTGCACTCTTAGCCTCTGTACTGTCAGTGTACGTTAGCAGTCATCTTTTTTTTTTTTTTTTTTTTTTTGAGATGGAGTCTTGCTCTGTCGTCCAGGCTGGAGTGCGGTGGTGCAATCTTGGCTCACTGCAAGCTGTGCCTCCCGGGTTCACGCCATTCTCCTGCCTCAGCCTCCCGAGTAGCTGGGACTACAGGCGCC